TTTAATTCATGAGTCAATTAATTTTAACAAAAACAGGTTAATTACTTGTGATATTGCCAAAAGCAGAGCTTGCAAGCTGATGAGAGAGGGGGTGTGGCAGGTAGCGGCTTTCCCTTTCTATATCCATTGACCAGGTGCCAGTGGAAGGAGAGCTTCGGTTAGTTTTTAACCACACCCAATCAGTGTTGAGCTTTCCTGATTGGATGCTGAACTGGGAGAGTCTCACTTCTTGAGATTTGGTAGATATTCTTAAATAATCCTTTCCTAGTGTCCTGTTTGCTTTTAAGATAATTTCCAGTTGTATCTTATTTATGTAACTAGTTAAATATAATAAAAAGATAATTAAAATAAGGATAATTTCAGATGCTTATAGAGTGCTTATTTTTATAAATGAAAATATTTCAGCAGTTAGAGGAAAAACAATCTTCCTTATTTTGTCATCTATAAGTTATGGCTTCTCAGGCTTGTTTTTTGCACCTAAAGTTAAAGTGAATGAAAAAAGTACATGAATTGATTTAAAAATAGTATATCAAAAAGATAAAGGCCTTTCAGTACTTGATTTCTACCCAGCTAGAATCAAGATTTTATTTTGATTGTTTTTGTTTTGTTTGCTTTTTATGCTGGTTGAATTTTATGTTAAACGTCTTAACTTTGGAAAATGCTTTGAGTAATTAGCTTTAGGATACTCTGCAAACTTCCTTCAATCTTTTTAGCAATGTGGGCATCTCATTCAAAAATTTTGCCTTCCGTGTAAAACTCTCACTTTATGAAAATCTTGAGCTTGGGGAAATTCTTAATTCTTTAAACCAGAAACTTAAATGTACTCCTTGAGGTCAGTAATCACAATTTCTGGATTTTTTATCATGGTTATATATCAACCTTGCCATGAATGTAGTGAGACACTCCGAGGAGAAGCTGTGAATTTGGGATTTCAGTGCTGGAGAATGCACAATTAAATCCAGGCACTCTGCAGGAATGTGGCTATTTATGTCTCCATCAGGATCATTAGAACAGACAGAGTTGGTTGTAATAACAATTGTACCTAATCTACTACATAGGCTCTTTAGTAAAATCTCTCATAAACTTCTACTGGCTCCAAAGGTGCCTAACTACTCACGGCATGTATCTCCTCTTGTCAGGTGTCTATACTTGCTTGCTCCTTAATCTACAAAGACGGCAAACTCTATTTAATGATACTTTATTGTATAATAATTGGTTCTCCTCTGTATCTTTTGATTCTTATTGATGAGAAGTGAGATTGTATAGCTGATACTAGAAATTCAATCTCCTGGCTTTGCAATGTGAATTTACAAATAATGAGAACAGTGTTTTGGGGAAAAGGAAAAATAAAAGGTTACTAATTTTGCTGTAGTCCTACTCCCAAGCAGTAGGATGGTGGGGACAGGTTTATAAAAGAATGCTTAGGAGTTTGCCTTCTGGATAAACATGCTGAGATAAATCTAGTATGGTAGCTGAAATAACTCATGAAACTAATATACATATTGGAAATATGTTCCCCTAATGGGCCCCAGAATTTGGCTTATCAATTGGTGACATCTTTGGTTCTTTTCCTCATCATCTTTTTGTCAGTCTGAAAATTTTTGGCTTGCAAATACATGTCCTCACATTATCTGGTTCATATCCTCTTTTGATGTTTGTCATGAAAATATTGACTCATAACCCCACCCCGGTCCACATGGTAACACTGAAAGGTCTACTTGCATTATGCTAGGTACCGGGTCTTCATTGTAAATGAAATGGTCTCCTTTATGTTAAAGGAACTTTGTCAAAGAAGACAATTATAAAAACAGAAAAAATGTAATGTTTAATGTTGCTCTAAATATTTTATACATAGCACCCATGGGGCTCAAAGGCTGTTCCTACTTCTGTAGGTCAATGGAGGTCAGAAGCAGTTTCATCTCAAGGAAGTGATAGTTAAACTGAGCCATAGTATACACTGCAGCAAGACTGGATTCGACCGCAGTATTGTCTGGGGGGAATGAAAATCTTCAGACTCAAGTTACACTGATCTTTAGTTCTGTTGGTATCACCTGTTTAATAACAGCAAATAGAGTGACATCCACTTAGCATAGCATCTAACTTAGTAGGTCTTAAATTGTGCTCAGTGAATGACATAAGTACATTTATCATTCTTTCAGAACAGTTCTTTGCTGTGGGAAATTGTCCAGAATATGTTTTGGGTAGTGCCATTAAATCCCTGAGGGAGGTAAAAATGTTAAAGAGATGACACAGATCAGTATGCATTATATACATAAACTGTTTGGTTAAATGGCAAAAAAATCAATACATAACCAACAAAATTAAAAAGAGTGATGGAAGGGGTGAGTTGGAAGAGGTAGATGAGAAAGTTGAAAGGGGTGATATTGATCAAGACACTCTGTATTCATAAACTGCTGTGTTGAATGACAATTCCTTTATACAACCACTTAAAAATAATAAAAATCTTCAAAATAAAATTCTACCGTGAGAGCTTCAGTGTGTAAGACAGATTCTAAGAAGTAGGGTGAATTCTATTCTGGCTTCTGATTATAGTTCATTTAAAAATTACATGCTTTGATCTGTATCATTCAAAAGTAGGTGAAAACAGGATATCTCAGGCAACCATCACCTTGACAATCTTCCTTTAAAACTGTAGAACTAATGGTTATCTGCTAACTTATAGTAGAAAATAGCAGATTTGGTTTTCATTCCTTCTGAGCTACTCACTTACTGGATTAACAATCTACAATAACTCCATGCTTTTCCTTTTCTTCGTATTTCCACCTATTATCGCTTCCATAAGATTCTATGCCATCTCCTAGGCTGATTAGAGAAGTAGGTGAAGGAACACCTGAGAATTAACCCTCCTTTTTACTGCGTGGCCAAAATATTTTGTCTCTGCAACATACCACACAAAATATGAAAGTGTTCATACTTTTTTTAAGTGAACATAAAACTCCAAGTACTTTAAATCCTCAGCAAACCAGGCCCTTTTGCCTTACACTCATAATCCTACCTAATTAGGAGGCTGAGTTCTGAAGATCTTGATTAGAAGCCAGCCTGGTTAGAAAATCCATGAAACTCCTATCTCCAATTAACTACCAAAAAGCCAGAAGCTCTGGCTCAAGTGGTGGAGCACCAGTTTTTAGATGAAAAACTGAAGAGGACAAAGCTCTGAGTTCAAGCCCCAGTACTGGCACACACATAAACACATACACATACATCCTTAGCAAGAGTGTCCCCAATGGGCACAGCTTCAATATCTATAAAACTACTTCTAGGAAAGGACAGCTTGCAAAGCATCTCTTCATAGGTTCTACTTCTTCTCATTGACCACCTATCTGCCCTCTCAACCTTATATTTTTGGTTTGTTGTCTTTGTGTCTTTCTTCCTCCTACCGCTAAAGTATATGCTAGAGTCCTGGAAATGACAAACACTTACACACACACACACACACACACACACACACACACACACACACACACACACACACACACACACACACACAATCTCTTGCACAGCTCTCCTTTTAAAGACCAAAAGCTAATTTAAAAATGGAGAAATTACTTTTCTAACTACCACATAATTTACAAAGCAGCACTGTCTACAGCAGTGGACATCTTATGCAAAAATTACACAGTTCTCTTCATTCTATCTTCATCCTTCCTCCCCCCATCCAATTATAACTTGCAGTCCCTAGGCCTTCTGGGAAATGAAAGGGGCTTTTGTGGGGCTATTTGCTTCTCCAGGGTGGTGCTTTGCTATTGCTGGTCTATTAAGGAATAGATTGACTCCTTATCTAAGAGCCCTCTTTACCCTCAATTTCCAACTAGGCAGGAGGGGAGGCAGTAGATTAATCTTCCTCTCTGAAAGTGAAGATAATTGATGACCTGTGTGCACAATGGCCACATCATGTAGTCCATCAAAAGATTTGCTTTTTTCTAAATCATGATTCATTTTCATTAATTCTTATAAGGGAATAAAAATTGAGCTGGATTTAAGCATTTCATATAGCATTTAGAGAATCACCTTTTCTGAGGAAAAGAAAAATCACACAAACTATCCCCAGAAAATTCAGCCAGCATGGTCATCATCATAGCTTTATGATAGATACTTAAATATGAAAAATGTTCAAGTCCTTAAGTCTTTAAAAAAAATCTCAAAATCACAGTCATGTATCCTGGTGAGGCTAAAATTGGGCAAAGGCAAAGCTGAATGCCAAATGATAATCCCTGTTAAATAATTCAGGCCATGTGAACTCTGATATTTTACTTACTTTAATGAGTATAATGGCTGCAATTACAGACTGCTTTCTCAGTATGCCAGACACAATGTATTGCCACCTAATTGTGGACTCGATTTTATATTATTTTTGAGAAATTCATATCTGCAGTTTTTTGTAATCTCAGTGCATGGTATTAGTAGCCACCAAACAAGCACGTGTTGGAATCAGTTAAATGAAATAAGTCACAAAGGATGCACGCTTTTCTCTAATTTTCTCATTAGTTAGATCTAAATTATGAATATATATGTAAAAATATACAGGGCCTTATACATGTTGAAGTATGTAATATACAGGGGAAGGTTCTGTTGCTTTTAATTGCCTTCAACAAAATGAATACCTGGGAGCTGGAACATCTGTTGTCTGGGGTGGGGTGTAAGGCTAAGAGGTAGTGAGACAGAGGAATGAGAGAAGGGTGGGAAAATGCAGTCATAATTTTCAATGTTCCTATGCAAAAATGGAACTAGATAGATTGGTGGGGGGATGGGAGGGCTGGGAGAGATGCGGGAGAACAATGAAAGGGATATTGATCAAGATGCATTGTATTCACAGACTGACATGTTAACTTGAAACCTATTTATACAACTACTTAACGATAATCAAAAAGGGTTTCCATAATAAATCACATTGCAAATGATATGAAGCTTCGTGGAATAGGAAAAATATACCCTGGGACTTGTGTTTCCCTCTGACACTGTTTTTCCTGGTACTCACACAGGGAAGTGATGCTGATATGGTGGATAAGAATAAGTGCTGCACACTCTGTAATATGTCCTTCACCTCTGCGGTGGTGGCCGACTCACATTACCAAGGCAAAATCCATGCCAAAAGGTTAAAACTGCTGCTAGGAGAGAAAACACCACTGAAGACCACAGGTATGTGCGGGAACAATGGTCCTGGGAAGACACAGAGCTAAGCACAGCACCTGTCATATGGATCATATGCTCCCTCTGCAGAAGCAGCTGCCAGCATCTGTCTTTAATGGCGGATGTCATTCAAAACCTAAAGGGAGTTTGGAGCCCCAGTGCACCTTTTGCTGTCATAAGACGATTAATTGGCACATACTCATTCTGGCAGTCTGGCTCTTTCACATTAGCAATTCAGCAGCTTCATGTTCTGAAAAGCTGTTTACATCCTCCAAGATGTTGTCTATCACATCTATTATATATTATGTAAGATATTGTATCTATTATGTTCTGTCCTAGTTCAGCCTGTGATCAGCATAGATAATGGATGGTATATGCTGCATAATAGTCAGATCCTTACCAAAGCCCACATAATGTAGAATATCATTCTCTTCTTACTCTGTGGGATGGGAAGAGACAGAGGAAAACTGCAGTCTTGGAAACATCTTAGTTTGCAGATGAGTGAATTTTTTATGGCATTCTTGTCATCTTTGCAGTGGACACTATGATTCAAGCTATTAAGTTTAAAAATTAACAGATCACTTGACTTCTAATTGCTTAGCTAAAAAAATTCTTCAGAGGTCTATCAAATTCAGAAATTAAAATTACTATTTAATAAACAGAAGAACTTTTAGGTAAGATTTATATTATGGTGAAGGTATTTCTAGATAGGGTTATAATCCTAAGAAGATGGGGATAGTTTTTCATGATGTCCGCTCTTCCCATGCATTTAAAATTTAGCAGTGTACTTTATCTTGCTGTCTAAGAAATCATGCATAAATTGTGGGCGTAATTACTTTTAAGTAGTATTTTGGAAATTGGAGAGTGTAAAACAATGCTTGGCTTTTGTCTTTGCCTGCATTTTTCTTAAGACAATGCTTTCTTTTACTTGGAGAACAGCAAGCAATATTTTACTTTACTATTCTACTTAGATTAACTAAAGCATATTGTTTTTATAAAGGTAGCTGTGAAATTCAGGCATAGAGAGGTTATAAAACACATGAAATCAAGAGACAAGCTCAGCCTGTTTTAGAGCACACCAGATGATTTGGCATTTAAAGTGCAAACCCTCAGTTGAAACTCTTCCACTCTTAAAGGTTGGGGAGTCAATTTGTAACCTATTCCCCATCAAATCTCTTAAAATAGACACCTCAAAGAAAGAGTCACTAGAAAGTTTTTACCAGTTTTTCATGAATGAGTAAGTATCCCATTTGTTCTGTCTGCTTTAGCAGGTACTGATATTGAATTTAATTTTGGAGGTAATGATGGAAGAGGAAAGGCTGTGTCTTTGTTTATTACATCGACTAGCAAATGGGAGAGTTATTGTTTCTGTAAAGAAAATTGCCACATGGAAAACATAGTGCTTTGTGAATTAAAATCCATCCTCAAGACAAGTAAGCACCAGATTGTTTACGTGAATTCAGATACCCACAGCTCTGATACATAGATGTCACAAGTAATTAGTTATTATCAATATATTCCCAAGGAAAAAAACAAGAGCATTTAAACTAGGTCAGAGCCCAACAAAATCAACACCAGAAAATGGGTACATCCAAAATGGAGGGGGCAAGGAGAGAGGGGTTGATGAAATAAGAATAGTAAAGGAAAGGGTGGGTCAAAGCTAGGTGAGACTATTGAATGGTGATACTGATCAAGATGTATTGAATTCATATGCTACTTTGTTATTTGGCACTTACTTTGTACAACTACTTAAAGATAATTTCAAACAAATGAAGTTCAGCTCAAGAATAAAATAAAATAAAAATAAAGGGCAGCCTCTACTCAGTGGCTTTGAGCTGTCCGTGTTGCCTACTGAGTTCTAAGTGTTGCAGAAATCAGGTCAGCAAGAAGTGGATAAGGTGGGATAAGGGTAAGTGGTAACAACAAGCTTAGGTTGAGGGAAGACTGTAATCCCCATTTCCCATGCCCTTCACACCTTCCACACGAACACATCCTCTCATTCATCCCCACTGAAGCTGCTTTGGTCAGCAAAGTTATCAGCCCAGCTTTTGACAGGGAGAAGAGAAACAATGGACCTTCTAGGGGGAAGGAAATTAATTGATACTAGGGTGTGGCTTAAGTTAAAGATTGAAAGCTGATAGTGTGGGTTCAGAGAACAAGCAGTTATTAAGCAGGGCATTGCATTAGGAAATCCTGGTAGGTGGAGCAATGATGTGGATATAATCCTAGTGTTCCAGGCAAAGGAGAAAGGCTAGTAAGAGAAAAGCAGAGTTGTGCCTATAATTGTAGCTTACTTAGGAGAGTGAGATCTGAAGGATTCAGGTTCAAAGCCATCCTGGGTGGTAAAAACAAGTCTGTGAAACTCCACCTTCAAAATAACTAGCAAAAAAGTAAAGCTGGAGACATTCAGTTCAACTGAATGCCAACTGTGAGCAAGAAAGCTGAGCCAATAAAAGGCCCTGATGTGGGACTGGAAAGGTGGCTCAGTAGTAGAGCGCTTGCCTCCAATGCATGAGGCCCTGGGTTCGATTCCTCAGCACCACATAAGCGGAAAAAAGCTGGAAGTGGCACTGTGGCTCAAGTGGTAGAGTGCTAGCCTTGAGCTGAAGAGCTGAGGGACAGCACCCAAGCCCAGAGTTCAGGCCCCACAACCAACCCCCCAAAAAACTCTGATGTAAATTTCTGGTTATGAGAGAGAGAAAGAGAGAGGGGGGTGGTGCATGAGAGAATACCAGTATACCATCATTTTAGAAATAAACATGCTGAAAACAAACAAGGAACCTGATTCACTCCCCAAGCCATCATGTGCAAATCTGAGAGAGCATTGCCAGCTTTCCTGGCTGCCTGAAACTAAACCCAACAGTAGTGCCTAAATGACTTTGCCCTCTCACCTGAGGCTGTCCTGTGTAGATCTAGCAACTACTCTGCCTAATCAACCAGGTTAGCTTGGCTTCCCTCATTTGTAATAATTAGTATATGTCTAGGATAGTCCTAGCAGAAGATCACAATAGCTCAATAGCTATATATATATATGACCGTATAAAATGCTAATCAAAATGCACTCCAAGATATGGAAACAAGAGTGTTTTTTCAATGTACTGTATGAAGTGATTTGCTTTTTCTTTCTTTCTTTTTTCCTTTCTTTTTTTTTAACCCTTGTTTTCATTTTTGATTTTGGTACCTGGTGTCTTGTGTATATGTTTATCTGTTTATGGCAAGGGAAGAGAAACAACAAAATGGTTGGACAAAGGACAAAGGGTGAACCAATGCAACAGCAATATTCAAAAGACACTATGTTGAGAGAAAGTGGGAGGAAATGAGAGGGCGTAACAATGTTCAACAAGAAATGTACACATTACCTTACTTATGTAGCTGTATTCCTTCTGTACATCACCTTTTCAATAAAATGTTAAAAAATTAAAAAAGATTGAATCTACAATGAAAACAAAAGGAAAAAATATATAGAACCCAGGCAACTGAATCAGACAGAAGCAATTCCTTCACTCATCTGTACTCCTTTAACTGTCCCTTCATGAATAATGGGCTCTTGAATGCTAGTTATTTCTGGATAAGGAATAATTGAAGCACAACTCATTGCTTCTCCAAGCTACTACAGCTGATAAGGGTAAGCAACTGTGAGTCATTGTCCTTCTATTTCAAGCTACACTTTGATCAAGCATCAAGTGAGGACTCTACAGGATCTGACACAGTTAGAATTGCCTTCTCCAGATGGATGCAGGTTTACTAGGATATATGGAATGTTGGTTAGTGTGTTTCAGAATCTATGCCCTAATACATGTTTTTCTGGATTCTTCTGTGAGGATAAAAGCATGAGGAGGGACACCAGATTACTTTTTACGCAGAAGGGCAGCACACTACAGGGTAAGATCACGCCCAGATGGCAGGGAAGACAGAAGCTGCCACAGTTACATCATTTGCAGTAGAAATGAGTCAAGCCATCCTGTGAAAGAGCTAAAGGAAACTCTAGTTAGAGTTTAGAACAAAGGAGTGTGTAGTCAGCTGTCGAGCAATTAACAAAGCCCTGAGATACTCAACTTCTAAAGAGAAATTTTCATTTTAGCCCATAGTTTTGGAGTTTCCAGTCCAAGACTAGGAAGTATATAGCTTTAGACCTTCAGTAGTGATGTAGAATGGGAACAAATGGTGGGAAAAAAACTGTTCTACTATCATGGCAATGAGAGTCAAAGAGAAAATGAGCAGAGAGCTGTTGTCCCACTGTGCCTTTCAAGGGACAAACCTAATGAGCTGAAGAACTCTTACTCTTAAAGGTCCCATCACTTCCCAGTACATGGAGTAAGAACCAATTTTTCATCATATGTGCATTTGGGAATATTGAGAGTCCAAACTGTAGCAAAGAAATGACATGAGAATACTTTGGCTGAAGGAAGCATAAAAGTAGCAATGGGTAATTAGGAAGATATTCACTTGGGAATAATTCTTTTTTTTAATTTAATTTAATTTAATTTGTGAACATACTGTACAGAGGGGTTACAATTACATGGGCAGGATAATGCTTACATTTCTTACCAAGCATTGCAGCCTCCTCCTTTGTTTACCCTTCACATCCCTTCCCAGCCTCCCCCCTCCTCCCCAATCCCAATCCTTCTCCTTCCCCCTTCTTCCCCCCGCCCCTGCCCCGCACCGACGTTGTAAAGCTCGTTTTGGACATGACAACTTGTACTTCTCATTGTTGCAACAGGTCCACACTTGGGAATAATTCTTTGAAAAATTATCATAGGAAAGAGACACTCATGGAGCATGTGGTGTGTTTATGTGTGTGTGTGTGTGTGTGTGTGTGTACATAGACAATCTGTATACCCTTGTGTATTCTGTCCATCCCATGAATGGACAGAATAGCGAGTTAGCTAGGAGTTCCAGATAAGAAAGAGTTTATTGATATTCAGACATGGTTATAGTTACTATGTTCAACTATTGGAGTTGTTTATACAAAGACTGGCCATTCAGCAGGGTATTTCCAGCATCAGCTA